CTAAATATATGCACCATATAACATATTCATTATAAATGTTACTGTTCTTCAATGTTTCATTTATGTTTGAATAAATCCAAGTTTTTATGACAGACACCATTATGTTTATATTTAAAAAAACGAATTGAAGTAGAAATATTATTATGTAATTGTAACTTTATTATTTTAAAAACTTCATTAAGTGTAATTTGAACAAATAAGTCCATTATAACCTTCAATATTACGCCTGTTTTACACATACTCCATCTGCAGTGCGTATGCGGTCCGTGTGCGTTACATATGCGGTGCAGAAGCAGCACGGACTCATTGTGCTTTCACACAGGACGCGTTTGCGGTCCGCTCTGTGGCTCTGATCCGTGGCTGTTTAACACAAACACAACATTTATCCATTATTTTGATTTCAAATACAAACTTAGTTAGCCTATACTGAAAGTGCTTTTTCAGCATTGTGATCCTCTTTTATCACAGTACAGTTACACAATCTTTCATAGACATATTCACGTTTAAACTCAATTAATATAAACAGCGTATTAAATGCATTTGGCTTCTAGATTTTATATATTAAAGGTGCAATAGGTGATTGTCTTTAGAAACATTTTTTGTTATGCTGGTTGAAAGTCTCTTCACATCCCGATAGCAATCATTAAAGGCAGAGTAAGCGATTTCTGGTAGCCAATGTTGATATTTGAAATCACCAAAACAAACACGCCCCTACCCCAAAAGGGTCTTGCCACTATTTTGATAGCTCCGCCCCACATATACGTACGCAACCCAGGCAACGATTAGTTCTGTGAAACAAAGCAAAACCAATGTTACACCGTGTCTACGGACGTGAGCGGCGCGGCGCAACAAATCCCCGACAGAAAACTGCTGCCGGGTTCTATTTATGACGTGCTGACACAAATTTCAAATGGTTTTCAACGGTCGTTTGATCGCGTCCCAATAGACTTTAATTATATCTATTTATTGTGAAATTACTAAATTTCCGTGTCAATCCATGTTCATTTTTACCGCGAACAAAGCGTTGTCACTTTAATTCAGCGCGTGCAGCACAGCAAAAATAGACTCGGTGTGTAAACGATCGCTGCACTGCTGCACCTGGAACACACTGACGGACCGCAACCGCAGTGTGAAAGCTCTAATCAGTTAACATGGGTGCGTAAAAAAACCCGCAACGCACACGCACTGCAAGACGGAGTATGTGTGAAACAGGCGTTATAGTAATGTAGTGCCAACTGACTATCATGTATATTTTACAGCAAAATTTGGCATGTACTGTACCTGATATATATCCAAAATAATCGATATCGAATCGAATCACTAGCTTGTGAATGAATCGAATCGAATCGTGAAATTTGTGTCAAAACCCAGCCCTAATATACAGTATACGTATTTTGGAGGATGAAGGTTCAGTAACTTCTGTTTTGACTGGTTGTTTACATGCATTTGGTGACAGAGGCTATGAAACAGCTTGAGTTCTAACAAAAGGACACCAGACTGTGCTGTAGACTCAGAGGGGTTGGTGGAGAGGGAACAGATTAGGACAGTCTTTCTGAAGAGATGCTGGGAGGGAGACAGAGAAGATATCTAGATATATATCTAGCGAGAACTCAGAGCAGAACAGACGACCCTGTCAAAGCAGCTCAGATAAGAGTAGCAGATGCCTTTAGCTACGAAACATGCTGTTTATGTGTATTTTTCGTGTTTGGATTAGGGTTATTTTGTGCTCTGACAAGGGACATTGTTCATATGCTGCGTGTAAATAATGCTCTTCTCCATCATTTAATGAATTATTGCTGCTATGATTACTGTAAAATGTGTTTTAAACACTTTTGTTTGTGCCGTTATTGTGCAATGTTAGTTTGCACTAAAAATGACAGTGATTTGATTTAAATATTTATGCGACATTATTACACTGAAAACAATTTTCACTGAGAAATTTCTAGTAAATTCACAAATAATTACAAATAAATGGCAAGTAATACATTGAATTAAATGACATTTTAATTACTGACTGAAACGCTTTAAAGACTGAAATAGTGTTTTCTTTTAAAACATACATGTATAGATTACATACTTGTAATCTATTGAAAAATCTACTTGAAAATAGATTACAAGTAATCTTTACTTTTACTTTTACTTTTACTTTTAGTCATTTAGCAGACGCTTTTATCCAAAGCGACTTACAAATAAGAAAAAGTAATTAAAACTAAAAGCTAAAACTCTATAAATACTATATATATACACACATTTAAGAAGATAAAAGAAATTAAATAAAAATGACAAATGCATACAACAACACTTCAAAACTAAAACATTTAAATTTAAATTTAGCATTTAAAATACGTTTTTGGATGTGTGCGGACCTTCTCTTTTGCACATGCAACGTTTCACTAGTTTGCTCCCTTGATGCCTGCCCTCAGTGCTCTCTAAATCAAAGCGCACGACACTGACAAGGTACGCGATACAGTACAAGACCAAACCTAATCTAATCTATTTACAACTTGGGAAAATCATTTTTACAGTGTATTTGAGCATTGTAAAAAGTGTCTAGTTAAATGGGATTATGGGGGGTTTATGAAAAAAAAAAGATGTTTTTTTTGAATATTATTGCACTAGATGTGTGAATAATTTATTTAAGTTGAATACATGTAAATTGGGACACTTTTTGTCATAGAGATGAATGGGGAAAATGTCCCAGTTTATTTGTTTTCACCCAAATTTTTGCTTAAAATGGTCACTTTTATATATCCTACAGCTACAGACTTTGAATGATAAACATGTTTAGATGAATTTGAGACAGCCGTACATAAACAGGAGGTGTTTGTAGGTGTATATGCGTGCGTGTGTATATAAATATAGAAAGCTGGCAGGGTTGTAGAAGAGCTCTTTGACTGTAGATATTGCTGTCAGAGGTGACCTAATTTAGGTTTACTTGAACGAGAACACCAACACATCCAGCTATTGAACAGCTTGTCATATAAAAATAGTTCATCTGACTGCCTGAATCCGCTCAGTATTCACAACTGAGAATGATAATGAATAATTTAGATTCTGGAAGTGTGTTTCATGACATGGAAAGGCCCCACGGCCCACAAAATACCAGGGAAAGATAGAGTTGCGTTTAACAAAGTGCAAAATATCTGAGGTTCATTTAAATCCTAGTGTTTTTAATGAATCATTTATCAAATCCATCTGTGGAAACGATTCTTTTGTGTGTTCATGAGACAAAGGGTATGAAGGACTGATCTTAAAGGAATTGTTCACCCAAAAATGAAGATTCTATCATTTATTAATTCCCTTTGTAGTTCCAGATTTGTATGACTTACTTTCTTCACTAAAATAAAAGGGTAGATATTCATGCAACTCTTTTTAAGATCCAAAAATGACCAAAAACGTACCATAAAAGTAGTCCATGTTCTGTATTCCAGGTATTCTGAAATCATATGATAACTTTGTGTGACATTTAAACCAATTTAAGGCATTATTCAATGACAAATGTCTTTAGTTGTCTTGTGTCTGGCAGCTGATCTTGATGCAACGAGTTTGTTCATACTGAAGCACAAATGAGTAAATATCGGTCTGTTTTTCATAATCAGAACCCTTAAATACTTTATAATTCTCATTCCTAGTGGTTTTGATTCCTCTTATTGATTACTCAGTCTCTTAAGAGTTCCATTAACGATTCTTTTGGTACTTTTTAAGGAAAACAAAATTCATTTTCACTGCCAAAATTAGATCATTTGAATAATAAGTGAGTTCATTTTTATTAGTCAATTTACAGGCTTAATTGACTAAAAGGAACCAGCCATTTGTTCAGGAATTGTACAACACAGTCGTACTATATAGTTATTTTATGACTTCAGAAAACTTGGTTATGTGGTGCACAAGTCATTTAGGCCCATTTTTATGCTATTTTCATTGTGTATTTTTGTCTTTTTCGTCATTTTTGGATCTTGACAGCTCCATTCACTTACATTGTGTGGGAAAGATAACCTGTTGTGTTCCACAAAAGAATTACTCATACAGGTTTTTGAATGACATGAGAGTGCGTAAATGATTTCAGGGTGAGCTATTTTGAACATTTGCCTCATGTGAGTATTTTTAGTGTGAGAAGCAGTCAGTTTGTGACTGAACAGAATGAGGTCTCGTGTGAAGCAGTCACAACTTGTATCCCTCAGCATTTTTTAAGCGTGCCATCTCCAGGTGTCCCTGAGGAGTAGTGATACACAGCCAGCTAATTAAACATAACACAATTCTATTGAAATGACAGTCCTGTCCTCTGTGCAATTAATTATTATGACAGCTGAGCTTCCCCAAACCGAGTCCTCCAACCAGTTTTAAATTTCAACCTATTTAAGTCTCATGAATATTTCATGTGTGCGGTGATCCTCGTGTGCGGAGCATGGGCTGCTCTACTGTAACCGCTCGAGTGCACTCTGCAGGCTGCATGCGCTGTTTTGCTGCTGTCACTTTAAATGGATAAATAGGCTTGATGAGAATGGTGTTTATTTACTCAGAAAGGCCCATTCAGTGAACTGCTATTATGAATCTGTTTAAAGGGGTCATTTCTTATTTATAGTTTTAGCTTTTACATGAGGTCAACTAATAATTATTTATTTTTTCCATAAGAAGTCATAATTTTGTTTTTCATGACTTTTCCAGATTGATGGATGGACACAGACAGAGAGAAATAGATGATAGATAGATAGATAGATAGATAGATAGATAGATAGACGGATGGCTGGGTGGATGGATGGATGGATGGATGGATGGGTGGATGGATGGGTGGATGGATAAACAGAGTAGATAGATAGATAGATAGATGGATGGATGGATGGATGGATGGATAAACAGACAGA